TCAATCAGGCTATGAAACTATAAAATGAAAAAAGAGAACCTACGCTTCATCACACAGACTGAGTAAATGCAATGAAAAATATGTCTCTTACTTTTGTTTATTTATCCATTCCATCGTAAGAAGGAAATCTATTAATTTTCCTGCAATCGCTCCATACGGAATTTTAAGTGAGCGAAGGACAGATCAGCCAATTGAAAAATAAACAAATACATAAACTGTAAGTGCGATGGCATAAAAAAACACAAAAGGCAAAACGCTGTCAACAAAATTAATAAATTAACAAAGAATAATCATTAGTGCAATAATAATAACAAAAAGGAAATTCGGACAGAAGAAATAACATTAATCCGACTCTGACTCTGATTCGGCTATGATTCTTGCCCTCGATGCTTTGATTGGAGAGTTGAACTGCGGCGACTGCGACCTCTGGCTGGCGTACAGGCTGTGTGCGTTGCGTCTGCCTCGACCTATGAGGGCAGAAAATGACAGCATGTCAATATCAACATATCCACGAGTGAAGAGAGTAGCAAGGAATAAGAGGGAAGGGACAATAAGTTTTGCACTTTTTGTTCTTTTCTTTTCTGCTGCTGCTACGAAAATAAACAACAGGTTGGTGGTGGCTGATGATCAGGGGCGTCACTTCATGTTATGAGTTGGGGGGTGACGGGTAAATTTGCCCTGAAAAAATAATTTTTGCCCTGCAAATCACGAAAAAGAAAATGCTCACTAGCTCTTTATAAGTAGCCTGGAATGGACCATCAACCAGTATTTACAAATGATAAATGAACAAAACAACAAAAAACGTAAAAACTTAACTAGAAACTTCTTACAATACCAAAAAATAAGAAATCTATAACGAATAGAACAGGGTTCAAAAATTAATTTTGATAGTTTAGACATTAGACACTTTGCGCCAGAAAATGTTATAAATCAAGTATCATCAACAATTAGTTTCATATAGTTATTTATAGATCTTGAATACTTATCGGCTATTGAGGCAGATTCCGTAAGAGAAAATTTGCCCTGCAGAACTAGATTTCGCCCTGCCAAAAGAGGCTTTTTTAAGAGTTGGGGGGTGAACCCCCCCCCATACTCCCCCTTAAGTGATGCCCCAGCTGATGATGGATGGAAAGTTTGGTGTTGATCATTTGGTGTCTAACAGGTTGGTAACAATTATTTAAATACAGTTATATTATTTTGACATATTGCATTCAGCAAATCATCACCAATCCTCAATTGTATCCTTAACATCAACAACAAAACTACACACACATACACACACACACACACATATATTAAGAAGGGAAGACAGAAGAAAGGAAGAAAGAATAATGGTAATGATGATCATGATGATTCTGGTAATGATTACAATAATGATGCTAATGCTAACATTAACTTCAGTAACTGTTCACTTATTGGAAAAAAAAAAAAAAAAAAAAAAAAAAAAAAAAAAAATGCATTACTGCAGTATAAAAAAATATCTTTGCTCAAGGAAAGTATTTCATGGATAATGATGATAATGGCAGTAAAAGACCATGTTGGAGATTGGTATTATTGTGTAACACCAGTACTTTGTCTTATGCCGATTGGCTAAAACTGTTTCTTGTTTTGTAATTTATTTTCCCCTTTTATTTTTTTTGTTGTTTTATTGCAGCTCAGCTCAAACTCTCTTCATAAGGGACTTATGCCTGAATAAAGCAGAACAGCTTTTGATATAAGCAAAAGCAGGAAGTGTATAATGTGTAAAAACAAACAATATAATAAACAAAACTTAGGAATCTAAGCTTTCAAAAATAACAAAAAAACAAAAATAATAAAAACAATAAATACACAAATAATTAAACAAAATTCTGTTTCAATGATTTTGTGTAGACTCTTCTGTCTATAGTTATAATCACAGTGCATCAACACTTTATATCCAAAGAACAGCCACTAGAACTAGGAAAAACAGAGCTAGATTTTGTTTCTCAATCCATTGTTATGTCATCCAAGTTTTTGGTATCTTTTTTAATACCTGCTTCTAAACAACGTCTTTCTAAATAAATTGCTATAAATCACCATTTCTAATTGAAAAATTTCCAGTGAATTACCTAAGTATAAAAATTAATACAGAAATCCAGCTTTCCAAAGGTCTGGATATAAAGGCTTAACACTCTGTCCATTATGGTGTTAGTTTGTGTTTTGCTTCTACGCAGATGCCTCAACAGGCACTTAGTCACAAACTTGTAGACTCATCTGACACTACCTGACTACACCAACTCTTGAACTTTCTGGATTTCACCCCCCTGAATACTAATACTATTATTATTATTATTATTACTATTATCATTATCATTAAACTAATGTAAGAATTATAATGTTCTTAACCCCTATGATCCATATGACCTGATCATCACGTCATGAAAATTTTTGCTTAAGGAGTGGGTAACCTGAACATGCCATCATGGGAAAATCTGGCTGTGGGCTGGGGTGACATGAACATGCCATCATGTATATTTCAACTGAAGGCTGGGGTGCAGGAAAGACTTGCCATAAGGGTACAAACCTCCTGGACTCATTTGGCACTTAGAAAGGGGCTTTTCGTTATTTCTATCGATAAATGAGTGTGGAATGTATTGTCTGTGAGCCATGACTGGTAGAGTGCTAGCTCCAGGGAGATACTATTTCCATGCTCAGCATCCTATTCCAAGCCACTGTGACCAGCAGTGCAGGTTATATTACAGAAAAGTGAATGATACAAAGGGAGAAAGAGAGAGAAAGAGAAAAAGAAAGAGAGAGAGAGTGAGACAAATAACAAAATATTACTCATTATTCTTATTCTTGCACTGAGTTATGAACTACCTATAGAGATGATATGAGAGTGCAAGGAAAACATTCTATTACCATCTGGATAAAATAAATCTAATGACAAATATGGGCAATGAAAAATTGCGAAAAAGCTAAAAACTTGCACAAAATAAGAAAATAACATTGGAAATGGGAGGCAGAGAGTCTTATCATTGCACAAGAGTGTTTATGTGTCCCTGGCCTACAAGCTGTGCACCCATTGGAATGGCTAGTCAAGTAAGCTTTATGCCCATATTTTGGGCCATGTGATTGTTGTTAACAATACCAAAAGTAATTAAAAATAAAACACATTCTTTCTGAAATAAAGAAACAGGGGAAACAGATGAGATCAAAGAGGCCTTATAACTGACTTCAATTAATTATAATTAATTATTCTAGGTGACTGAGAACTTCTGGAGCCATCTATCTGTAAACAAAATTAATCACCCAAAATCACAGTGGAATGGACTTGGAAACATATGTCATCAGGAAGAAATAAAATGAAGGGAGGAAGGATTCAATTATTCTCTCATACACTACTAACCTGAATCAGCTATGATGTTGCCAAGGTCCAGTTCCTCAACTTCTTTCTTTCTTTCAATCTTCTTGCGAAGTTTCTTGCACTTCTCAAGGGTCGGAGCACCTGAAATCAGTAACACTCTTTCTGTCAATTTGGGCTATGATACCTATATTTTATTTGATGATATCATTCTTCTATGATGTAGTTGTGTTAAGTTTTGCTTTGTTTTGCTCTTAATTCTTTTGTCTGCCTAAAGCACAATCATGGAAATTATACCTGATCACCATTCAATCAAACCACTAAATCAATCCATATATCTATTAGGTCATGTCCATATGTGGAAAAGGCAAGCAAAATATTGTTTTAGAGCATTTTTATCACACTGAATTTTTGTAAGCATTATGTCTGACCTTGAATACTATGAAAGATGTAAAAAGAATAGAAAAGTGCACAAACATAACACTGCAGAGTCAACTCTGACAAAAAAAGTTAGAAAGAAAGACAGAAACAAACAAACAAAAAAAAAAAATTATACAGTCCTGATACTATATTGGGCATGGGCCTTCAAGTCTGCTATTTAACCAGCTGGTTGTGTTAGGCAAATATAATTGAAGTTCTATCTTATTATGCAACCATCTTAGTGTCTCCTTTGTATAATGTCATATTTTGAGGAGTACCATATGCTCAAATGAACAAAAAATATTTTATCAAATCGAAATAAAACAGAATTTTGTTTGTTTTGCCAAAGATGAATACAAATGACGACAAGTGTTATGACTGATATGTTCGCAAATGATATGACTGATATGTATGCATATTTGACTGATATGTACACATATGATATGACTGATATGCACTGGAAATTGCTAAAATAAACTGTGGATAATTATTGTTCCTCTGGATACAAAAGCAGACATACACAAAAATTTGTTACTTTTCACATATTTTTAAAATTCAGCTTTTCTAAACCCTTTTGCAATCAAAAATGGATTATTTACCATCATTCCCAACAAGAAAAGCAGCAAAATGATTAACTCTATTTTTCTTTCTTTCATAAGAGGCATATGGAATCCTTGGTTCCAGTCAAAGGGTTCTCTACTCATTGCCAAAGATAACCAAACAAGGTAGATGGCACTTACCTTTAAGTCCCTGTTCTTCCATCACACCCAGGAGTTTAGCCTTTTTGGCAGCAATACTCTTGCAGCCTTCCAGAAGTTTGTCATAGTTCTTGATGTGGATGCCACAGGTGCGGATGTACTTTTTGAGACGGGCTAGTTTGTCCTCACCCTGGGAGAATCAATTTAGCCAGTTTGATTGGTATTGAAGTGGTAAGAGAGTCCTAAAAAAATTCCCACTGCATTCCTTATCTTCCTTTTTAGTAGGAAAGCAGAGGGAAGTTGAACAGAATACCAAGGAGAGAAATATTACGAGACAAACATCAAATCATAAAAACAAAAACACAAACTCACCTTTGATTGCTTTGGTGACTTTTTACTGGCTTCCTTCTTGGCTGGCTTCATCTGCTCTTTTGAGGACTCTTCATTATCACTATCCGAGTTGAGTGATGTATCTGAACTATCACTGTCTGCCTTGTCTGCTTTTGGAGCTTTCTTTGACACCTCTTTTCCTTTCTCTCCTGTTCCTTCTTTCTTCTTCTTGGCTAGAGGTTCATCACTGTCTGAATCACTGGTTTGCGCAGGTTTAGGTGGCTTTTTCTCTGCTGCTTTAGTCTTCTGCTTCGCGGGAGTTTTCTTGGCTAGTGGCTCTTCGTCATCAGAACTACTGCCGCCACCTGAGTTTTCTGAACTGTCATCGGCCGTCTTTTTGGCCTTTGGCTTTCTCCCTCTCTTGGGCGTCTTCTTACTCTCCTTCTCTGGCTCTGACTCTGAGTCTGAGTCCTTTTTCTTGCCTTTAGCTGTCTTGGGCTGTCTGCCTCTTTTGGGCGTCTTCTTACTCTCCTTCTCTGCCTCTGACTCTGAGTCCGAGTTGCTGCTAAGCTGGTTCTTCTTTGCATCTGCATCACTTCCATCAGAATCCTCAGAGTCTTCCTCCTTCTTCTGTTTTGAGGGAACACTCTTCTTCATCTTTGCACTTGCCTCTGCATCTGAGTCACTGCCTGACTGGTCATCCTTCATCTGTTTCCCTTTCTTATTACTCAGTGGCTCCTCATCTGATTCACTTGGGGTTTCTATCTTCTTCCTCTTGGGACTTGGGCCTTTCTTCTTACTCAGAGGTTCCTCTTCATCTGAACTACTTGGCTTATTTCTTTTCTTTCCTTCCCTGTGTTGCTCTTGCTTGCTGTCAGATCCACCAGACTTCCTTTCCTCTGTGTCCTCACTCTTTGCAGCCTTCTTCTTCTGCAGTGGTTCATTGTCAGAATCACTCTCACTCTTGGCTTTTTCAGCTTCTGGAGTTTGTTTCTTCTTCACTAATTGATCATCATCAGAGTCATTATCACTTGTTGCATTTTTGGCTTTGATTTTCGATTTTGGAGTCGGCTTTTTTTTCTGTAATGGCTCGTCATTAGAGTCACTTTCACTGGCAGCTTTTTTCGATTTTGGAGTCGGCTTCTTTTTCTGTAATGGCTCATCATCTGAGTCACTATCACTGGCTGCTTTTTTCGATTTTGGAGTCGCCTTCTTTTTCTGTAATGGCTCATCATCTGAGTCACTTTCACTGGCTGCTTTTTTCGATTTTGGAGTCGGCTTCTTTTTCTGTAATGGCTCATCATCTGAGTCACTTTCACTGGCTGCTTTTTCGATTTTGGAGTCGGCTTCTTTTTCTGTAATGGCTCATCATCTGAGTCACTTTCACTGGCTGCTTTTTTCGATTTTGGAGCCGGCTTCTTTTTCACTAAGGGCTTGTCATCAGAGTCACTGTCGCTGGCTGCTTTTTTTGATTTCGGAGTTACCTTCTTTTTCACTAAGGGCTTGTCATCAGAGTCATCATCACTCTCTGGATCTTTAGACTTCTGACTGACCTTTCTGGCTCTTTTCTTAGTTACAAGTGGCTCATCATCTGAGTCACTGGAACTCACAGCTTGTTTGGCCTTCTTCCCTGGCTTAACTGCTTTTCCTTTGCTCTTCTTAGGAGCTTCTTCATCATCATCAGAATCGAATCACTGTTCTTAGATTTCTTCTTGGCCAACTTTGTGTTTCTGGCTGCTGCCTTGCTCTTTTGTTTGGCCTTAGTTTTTTTTGCCTCCCTTCTTGGCCTCAGGCTCATACTCTGACTCACTTGATGATCCTTCTGAGCTAGACTCACGCAAGGAGGCTTTGCTGGATTTCCTTGGCCTCCCTCTGCTCTTCACAAGAGGTTCATCGTCATCAGAATCATCAGAATCATCACCTTTCCTTGCCTTGTTCTTCTTTTTGGTATTCTTGCCTTTTGCTGATGCCTGTGTGGACTTTTTCTTTTTCGGCACCTCTTCTTCATCTTCGCTAGAGTCCTCAGATAACATCTTGGAACTCTTTGCTGGTTCTGCTTTGGGCTCAGAAAGATCCTGTCCTGAGTCCTCATTAGGTTCCTTCTTCTGTGCTTTAGTCTTGGGGGCTTTCATTGCCAGGGGCTCATCAGAGCCCGAATCCTCATTGGATTTGTTACCCTTCTTGGAGTCCGACTTAGTACTGGCTTTCCTCTGTGCCGCATTCTCCTCCCCTGACTCTTCCTCTGAGCTATCCAACCTGCTCAGGCCAGAGTCATCATCTTCTGACTCTTTGTTAAGGATGTTCTTGATGTCGTCCTCTGTCACCGAGGGTTTCTTTCTCTGCATCACATTTACCTCTTTCTTCACACCTTCCTCCTCCTTCTTAGACCTCTTCCTGGGTGTCTCCACCTCATTCCCTGGGGACAGAGCTCGCTTTCTGTCCACGATCCCATTTTCTGCTTCCATGGCTGAGTTGTTCTCTTTGTCCTCTGTGACTCCTGCTTCTTTTAACTGTGGCTTGTCTTCCTTCTCCTGGATGGGCTTGCGACTCAGCTTGTTCACTGGGATCTGGCAAGAAGGGAGCATTGAAAGATTGTGCTTCTGAATACAAATTTAATTCACAAGTATTTTTTTAACTGAGTGGTAAGAGAAGAAAATAAGAAAATGTAATACCAGGCTATATATTTCATGGCAAATATCTAAAGGAAAGTTCCATAATGATAGAGACAGGAATGAAAGGAAGGAAAAAGTATAATACTAAAAGACACAATATATAATAAAAACAAAACATGTGAGAATACAGAGTAAAATTTTGATTAAAAGTTACATCCACAACTAAACACACCATAAATGTGACAAAAGCACATGTATTACTAATGCCATTTGTGCAAACATTAACATATTGCTTAGAGTAAATCAGAATGAAAAACTTACTGGTTAAAGGTACATACTTGCAGCAGAGGAGAATTGCCTGTGATAAATGAACGGACAGGCTTTCCTATCTTGGGCGTACTTGGCTTTGACTTTGGTATTCTGGATAGCTGTTTGTCCTCAACTGTGGTCACAGCAGTAGCCTTGTTCTCCTCCGTATTCATCTGTGTAAATTTGTTTTCATATAAGGGTCTACAGAACTATAGCATGTTTATGTCAATGAAGATTAACCACAAAAACAGAAGAGAGAGACTGTTCAAAGGTTTCCAATAAATTAAAAATATTCAACTATAAGAACAATTTTAAGAAAGAATATTGAGTTGAAGGATGATAAGCTTTTATAAAATGGTAAAAGTAGTAGTAGTAGTAGTAGTAGTAGTAGTAATAATAACAATAACAATAACAATAACAATAATAACAATAACAATAATAATAATAATAATAATAATAATGATGATGATAACAACAAGAATAAAAATAATAACAATAACAGTAATAACAATAGTAATAATAATAATAAAAATTATTACTACTGCTACTAATAATAACAGGAATTACTATTATCATCATAATAAGAGCAATGATAAGAAAAAAAAAGAATGGCAAAAAGAAAGAAAGAGAGGGAGAAACAAAGAAAGAAAGAAAGAAAAATTAAGGAAAAAAGAAAAGAAAACAGACTTATTCTGAATATGTGAATAAAATGAACACTGAACTTTACAAACAACAAAAGACATTGCTTGCAACTTCACATACTCTTGCACAGTTTTTGGTAAAGCAGAACATTTTCCATTTTTAGAAGGTACCTGCAGTGGCCCCCATAATCATGTGTGTTTCATCCTATCTAAAACTAAGCTGCAATTGGGGATGGGCAGCCTACAGCCTAAAGTCCTATTCAATAGTAATACAGTTGTTGCAGTGGCCTCTGCATGTTGCACTTTAGCCAAGGCTAATCCTCGACCAAGATGGAATCTGTTTAACTCAGCTGCTCTCAGGAAATATTAGAAGCCTCAGAAGAATAAAATTTCATCAGTCTCTTTGATTTTGGCAGCTGCAAATAGGACTTTCAAGGAAACAAGGCTAAAATGTGACTAAGACTACATATGAGGAACTCTACCTCCTCAATCAGTACAATCATGGCTTAAAAAGAAAGAAAGAAAAAATCAGTTTAGCACTCCCAACTTAGAACAGGCTAAGTATGATTGCAGTACACATGACACTCTGAGAGGAACCTCGTCATGCCCTCCCAGGCTGGAAACCTTACATTACATTACATTGTACAATCTAGTATGGCTCAATTTAGGCACTTTGACAACTTTGTGTAGCCAACCAATAGAAAAAGGAGATCTGTGTGGTAAAAACAGAAAAGTTCCCAGCCTGGATGCCCTCTGTCGGCTATGAAAACTTGAAAATACATTTCTTGACAGAATATATGTAGCAGAGGTTTGCTGTCCATTTTTGAGTCCTAATGGGCACAGGGCCACAAAGTGCACAGGCGTCTTCATCCATATGCTGGATTAATCTTAACCCGTTACTGCCTGGTCACATGTATAGCCTTCATAACAAACTGCTTGATCTGCCTGGTACGGCTAAAAGCGCGTCAAGTGAGAAGTTCCACTTTGTGTAGGCGGGATGGCTGCCAGAAATCACCGGAGAGATTTCTCATACCGTCACTGATAGATTAATGGATGGACACACTCAGCTAGGGCAAATTAAAGATGGTATTCTTGTACAGGACAAAAAGATGATGATGTTGGTACAAGAAATAACCTGCAGGCATGAAGGGCCTTGGTCCAGTTGGTGCTCCCGGATTTCAGCCCTTCCTTGCTGTGCTGCGTTTCCCTAGGGGGGTTGGGGGCAGAGATCTCAACAACCCTCCCCTCAGGCAATGCCCAAAGGCATGCCCTGTCACGACAACTTGAATTATTGAACAAATTTTGTGCCGTGGAGGTGGGGACTTAATTAAGCAAAACTCTTTGCCTGTTAATTTTGTTCCCTACATTTTGGCTGCATAATTAACATAATTAAAATACTTTGGCTGCTATGACGCCTCCTAAAATTAACGAATATCAAAGTACCACATATGAGGAATGTCAAAGACCAGGAAATATAACCGATTCACTTATATTTTCAATTTCTTCGGCATATTTTTTTAAAATTTAGGATTTTAATTTCCCTCCGAAAAATGCAGGACTCCATTAACGAACCCCTTATCACCCCATGAAACCCAATCAGACTAACCAGCCGAACCCTAACCAACACCCCCACCCCCCTCAAAGAACCCAAACCCGGCCCAAAATCCGCAAAAAAAAAAAAAAAAAAAAAAAAAACCCGAGGCCCAAAACACTCACGAAAGGCCGAACGAAACTACTCCGTACGAACTCCCACTCACTTTTTCTTTCTCTTCTCTTCTCTCTTCTCCTCCTTGAATCTCTCCCCTTTCTCTCCCTCTCAAGGGCGACCTCCGAGAATGGACTTTATTCAACCTTCCCTTCGCGCGGAAATCGAAAGAAAAAAACAAAAAAGGGGGGAAGGAAATTATTCGGAAAGTTACCTCCTTCCCGCGACTGATTTTCATCCGACACAGTTTGGGAGAGATTCGACCGGTGGCCGCCTTTCATAACCTTTTTTTCTCTACATTTCTACATCAAATGAGGATTTTTCGTGCATTTTCTTAATCATCTTTGCCTTCGATGTCTTGTTTCCATTCGTATCCCTTTATCCCTTTGTCTCCTATGGCTAGACTTTAATAGTTATGGCATTTGGTTACTGAAACGAAAAAGGAATATAACAGACAAAGGAATGCATTTTTTAGAAACTTATTTTCGCAAAACGAAATATTCTATGCGATTATCTTCGAAAGAGAGCAAGCATATCAGTAGAGAAATCATGCCATTTGACAAGAAATAGATTTTCCAAACAAGCTGAAAGTCTCCGAATGTCACATTAAAGTGGAAAATTTGGCGGTAAATAGATGCGAACAGTAACAATTAATAACGAGTTACGGGGTAACTAAATAGGAAGATGAGGGGGGGGAGAGGGAGAGAGAGAGAGAGAGAGAGAGAGAGAGAGAGAGAGAGAGAGAGAGAGAGAGAGAGAGAGAGAGAGAGAGAGAGAGAGAGAGAGAGAGAGAGAGAGAGAGAGAGAAAGAGAATGAGAGAGAATGAGAGAGAGAGAGAGAGAGAGAGAGAGAGAGAGAGAGAGAGAGAGAGAGAGAGAGAGAGAGAGAGAGAGAGAGAGAGAGAGAGAGAGAGAGAGAATGAGAGAGAATGAGAGAGAATGAGAGAGAGAGAGAGAGAGAGAGAGAGAGAGAGAGAGAGAGAGAGAGAGAGAGAGAGAGAGAGAGAGAGAGAGAGAGAGAGAGAGAGAATGAGAGAGAGATGAAGAGAGAGAGAAATGAAGAGAGAGAGAGAGAAATGAAGAGAGAGAGAGAGAGAAATGAAGAGAGAGAGAGAGAGAGAGAGAGAGAGAGAGAGAGAGAGAGAGAGACAGAGAGAGAGAGAGAGAATGAGAGAGAGAGAGAGAGAGAGAGAGAGAGAGAGAGAGAGAGAGAGAGAGAGAGAGAGAGAGAGAGAGAGAGAGAGAGAGAGAGAGAGAGAGAGACAGAGAGAGAGAGAGAGACAGAGAGAGAGAGAGAGACAGAGAGAGAGAGAGAGACAGAGAGAGAAAGACAGAGAGAGAGAGAGAGAGACAGAGAGAGAGAGAGAGAGAGAGAGAGAGAGAGAGAGAGAGAGAGAGAGAGAGAGAGAGAGAGAGAGAGAGAGAGAGAGAGAGACAGAGAGAGAGAGAGAGACAGAGAGAGAGAGACAGAGAGAGAAAGACAGAGAGAGAGAGAGAGAGACAGAGAGAGAGAGAGAGAGAGAGAGAGAGAGAGAGAGAGAGAGAGAGAGAGAGAGAGAGAAGTGTTCTTGTGTTCTTACTCTGGGAGGGAGGGATAGAGGAAGCTTTTGAAAGGGTATGACACCTAGGTTTGTTAAGCAAGTTAAAAGCATTTGGAGTGAACAGTGAACTCCTGGTTCTTTTGAAAAATTATCTACTAGACAGACAAATGAGAGTAGTTCTCGATGGAAGACACTCTGCTTACTACGACATCAAAGCAGGTGTCCCTCAAGGAAGCATTTTGGGCCCTCTGCTGTGGAATGTCTTCCTCAGTGACTTGCTCCACCTCATTCCTGAAACCAAAGCACTGGCGGATGACGGAACACTCTCCTTTAGGTATGAGCCCAGGGAACAGGATACCACCATAGAAATGGCAGGTTTCCTTTGCCCCAAATTAAACCTAGCTTTTGGTTGTCGAGAGGGTGAACAGTGATTTCCAAGTAAATTTCAGTGAGAAAAAAATAAGACCACAATAGGAAACTGAAATATTGGGCATCACATTCGACAAAAAATTATATTCAAAAGTCACATAGAAAGCTTGGCGAGAAGGGCTTCGCATAAACTTGCATCCCTAAGAAGAATCAGCTGGTTGCGGTACGGTGAAGGGAAGGAGATCCTGTACAAAGCACAAATTCGTTCTAGACTCGAGTACTCATTACTAGCCTCAAAATCTTGGATAAAATACAAGAAAAGAGGACCCAACAGTATCAACTGAACGTCGACAGCCTTCAAAGCAGGAGAGACGTAGCTGGCTTGACAACGATGTTCCTCCTCCATCGCCAACACGTCCCGCACCTGCAGCCAATGAGACTGCCAGGAAGACGAGCTGTCTGCGCCACGCGAACAGTGGAACGAGCGTCAGCCGCACTGGAGGAACCTCGTTGTTGCACGGCGCACCACCAGCGACAGTTTCTCTCCAGATATTCCAAATTATGGAATCTGTTCATTTCTATCATCGACGTGGAAGCTCAGTCCTTACAATCTTTTAAATGTAAAACACACGTGTGGCTGAAGACCACTAATAGATCATTCGCTAAAAATGAATTCCTTTAGTCTGTAAAAAAAACGTTTTGACTGTAACGTGTTTAATAATCATGACCAAATATGATGTAGCCGTTTTTCAATAAAATATCTTGATCACTGTGGTGACGCAAAAACGCAGTGGACCTCTAATAAGTCGAAGAAACCTAAAAGGTCAAACACAAGTTAAGACACAGGTTCAGCCTCCTACTCCAAAGGCACATGACAAACACTTCCCTCTTCCTCAATGGGAAGTCTCGGAAATTTACATTTGTTTTAGCAGGAGAAAAGTCAATCAACCTTTCAATCAGAAGGAGAATCACTTGCCTAGAGTTAATAGCAACTCTAAAAAGGTCATGCTTGTCATGTGAATAACGTGGTCACACACTTGACATTTGTTACGGCAATCTAGTGTGTGGCCACAAGAGGAGGAAACGCCACTCGGCAGATAGATGCCATAAGAAACGGGAGCAATTAACTATTGAGCGTTTGTCAAAGCCCCTAGAAGCTCAAAACGCTTCACAAGTTCGTGAATTTCAGAATCATTTGTCGTCATTCACATGTTAATCTTCTCAGTTTCTTGGGCAGCCGCCAGTCTTAAGAACCCATTATTATCCATCGCATCTAGGGAGCAATAACCCAATAGGATTATTTCAAAATCAGGCTACAGCCACATAATGCCCGGTATAAAAATCCTATCATCAAACCTCCATTTTTTTTATAAATCTTGGTGATCTTACATACAGCTTTATAAACAGGTACACCCCAGACATAGCAATTACAATAGAAACTACTAAAGTATATAATAGCATCATATAATAGCAGACTACAGGGTTATACTGTCTGGGCACGCCGGGGCAAGATATATCCGCAAGGTGGAGGCATTGCTGTCTGTTTCAAGAAATCTATAGAAATACAGCAAATAGATGTTGATATGCCTAATCATTTTGAAATAGTGTTTTCCTGCACAGGAATGATGATGCCATAGTATGTGCATATAAGTTAGTACATAGTCTTGATTAAATTCTTATACAACACTCCATATTAGGTGGAGATCTGGTGTTTTTTTTTTAAATCATGTTGTATTCCCTTCCCACATCTCAGGATCATCCCTGGACCCAGTTGTATCAGATCTCTCAAAGCACGGTCAAATGTCGTCCACTAGGATTCATGAAATCTTCTGATCATCAGGTTGTCCTCACAGACATTAAATTGATTGCTGGACGATCAGAAGAAACCACAAGGATTACTTGACTCTGGGATCGCGCAGATTGGACAGCCCTCAATGACACCCTTGTCTCAACCGAGTGGAACAACCTCTTAAAAAGGGACATTAGCCGACAAACGGAAACTATTCCTCGCCTAACACTTGACCTGCAACACCAGTACGTTGGTCATCGGCAGTACAAAGTAAAATACTCTGATAAGCCATGGTTTGGTTATCGGTGTCGCCGAGAATCAGATGCTAAATCTAATGCCTGGAAGCAGTATAAAAACATCCCACATCCCGGAACTTGTAGCTTGCAAAAAACATTAAAAAATCAACATTAGGCATTTAAAAAGTGGGAAAAAGATATAAGGAAGAAGTTGCAACATGGGAACATTAAGTCAAAAGTATGGTGGTCCCTCATAAAGGACGCACAGGGAGTCACAGCCAATAGTTCAGTGCCTCCACTTAAAGGACAGGATGGCTACCTTGCAGTTAGAACCAAGGACAAGGTAGAAACTTTTGTCAATAAGATGCAAGTGCGTGAACCCAGGCCCAATCCACCAGCTACTTTGAAGAGTACTAGTCACACCGTAGAACAATCTTGAGCACTCTGTTAATGGTGAAACATTATCAGAAAAATAATCACTGAGGTTTTAGATATAACATTTGACGAGGACACGAGTTTCAAGGCACAGGTTAAGGATCTGGCCTGGAAAGAGGCTACGAAACTGAACAAGCAAGATGCATAATCAACAAATGTGATGGTGGAACATAATTCGTAGGTCGAACTCACAATCTTCAACACCGTCGGGGTCACGGCACTGTGCAAGGCTACATTTCTGGAGACTCCCTGGCTCTTGGTTCTTCGACCGCTCCAGGAAAATATTGTCTCTTTGTAAACCGGTCCAAAACCCCACTCCATCAGAATGACAAGGATCTAGAATGTTTTATTACGCCCACTGACTCACTGGAATATAGTTCGACACAGTCAGTCAAACTCCGTATCAACAGATGGCTGTCACACAATAATCAATATATGTACACTAGATAAACTGTATTTTCACTTAGAGAGAGAAAGGAAAAGGGAGAAAGGGAGAGATGGAGATGGCGATGGAGATAGAGAGAGAGGAATAGGGAAGGAGAGAGAGAGTGAGGGAGATGGAGATGGGGATAAAGAGAGAGAGAGTAAAAGGGAGGGAAAGAGAAAAAGAGAGGAAATGGGAGAGAAAAAATAGATAGATAGATAGATAGAGAGAGAGAGATAGAGAGAGATAGATAGATAGATAGATAGATAGAGAGAGAGAGAGAGAGAGAGAGAGAGGAGAGAGAGAGAGAGAGAGAGAGAGAGAGAGAGAGAGAGAGAGAGAGAGAGAGATTTAATTTGATAACATTTATTTACAGAACAGTGTACATGCCCTGGAAAAAGCCAGGGTATGATACCATACCAAAGCATCTATCCAAACTGGCTGTGCTTCTATTTG